TACGATTTTGTCAGGGTTATCGGCTGTGGGGTTTCCGGTTTGGGCCAGAGCTTCATGAGGCAATTCCGCCGCGTCATCAGGAAGCGCATGTACATGGCATAGCAGTATTCACAGATGTAGAACCATGACGACAGATAGAAGATGCGCGGAGCAAGGCAGGGTAGGGGTAGGTAAGGGATGGTAAGGGTATGTTAGGGGTGGTGGTAGGGAGGGGTGAGAAGTAGAAGCAGTAGCAGCAGCAGGAGGAGGAGTCGTAGGAGGAGGAGTGCTAGTGGTAGCGGCAGGAGGAGGAAGTGCTCGCCATATTCGATTGCGCTCGCAATGGACAATGGTTGTGTCTCATGGTAGTCCCTATATAATTCTGTTGTAGTGGAGAACTTCGCTGACTAGCCCCTCTTCGCGAAGCCCTTCTCTCTACTTGGGCCATTTCTGAGCCTTATTCGGAGGTGGTGCACCGCTGTAGAAGTCTAGCAGCAAGTGTGGGTCGAATTATTCGTCCAAGCTGATGCCAGAGTCCAATGCGTTATTGACTGCCGCAATTTCGTCAAATCTGCAAGCAGGTGCATTCAAATTCCACGGTTCCTATTGCCGGAGATGTTTTTTTGGGCTCACGCTGGGCAGACACAACTGCAAAGTGAATGGAATGTGCGGGTTCTAACAGCTATAGTCTAAACTCCTTAAAAGGATTATATAGGGGATTACATACGGGAGTATTACAGGGGTCATTAAGGGGGATACTAGTACAGACTAACCCAAAACCTTATTCTAGTTACTTCGTCCCCTACAGGATCTCCTAAGCCTGTTTTCCAAAGGCCCAATCAAAACAGCCCTTGTCATCCTATCGTATATAGGGGTTATAGGGATAATGGAAAAGAACATGGAAAACTACTATATAGTATATTGGGGTTCCTCTCTGTTAAGGGAGACCAAAAATTCAGTTTGGTCTGGAATCCAATCTTGGGCACGGACTCCTCCAAAAAGTCCCCAAGTCCCTGGCAGAAAGCCGACACCGTGGACCCAAAGCCCGAAACCCTAAACCCTAAACCCAAAAAAAGAACCGTACACCCTACAGGCACACCTCGAATTTCTCGTTTCACTATTCCCTGTCTCGGGGCAGGCCAGGCATTTGTTTGCCCTTCCCCCCCATGTACAGTAGGGTTTACACGCACGGAAACTAACATGGAAACCCAAAAAGGGCCCTATAAAGACTACAGTCCTTCTAACAGTGGGCTATATGGGTTTCCATGTTAGTTTGGGGGAGTGTAGGGCTTTAGGGTCCCCACCGCTACCCTCATACATGAAATTGGATGTGTCAACAAATCACCATAGGATAAATCGGTTGGACCCCTCGAATTCATACAGTGATCCCTGGAGTCCCTTCAAGCTTATAAGTAATGTAGAAGTCTTAGTAATTGAGAACACTATTGTCTCATAACAATCATAGTTCTAGTGCAGTATGATATGCACCAACAGCCTGTTCTCGTTTATTGGGCCGCTATATTTGTGCCGCCAAAATATTTGGAAAGCAATTCGTGTTCAAGGCAGGTGGCTGCTGCATATTGGAACGCGTGGGTCCTTGGGAGTGTAATTTGTGGGTTGTCGAACTTACTGATTGTTGGCAGGGAATGGAGGAATGGGTCCGGATGGTGGCCACTACACAATCTCCCCGAAATTGTCCATCTTCTTCTCCATGCCCTCGTTCCCTACAAACAGCCAACAATCTAATCCTGTGATGACCTGCCAGGTTTCATTTCATTTTGAACTTGACGTTGCGTTTGATTGTCCATTCTCTGCCCTGAACCCTAAACCCTAAATGAGGTAGTTTCAAATTCCTCTGCCAGGCACTAACAACTAGTAACCAGGGCTCAGGACCCTAAAATAGCCCTAATATAGGCCCAGCACAACCCCGATAGAACTCCAATTTAACCCCAATATAGCCCTAATACTACCTCAATACAACCCCAATATAACTCCCTAATATGTACCCAATAGAACTCCAATATAACCCTAAAATTACCCCCAATATTACTTCATTCTGAGGGTAGAGAGCCTGAAGATGCCTACTCAAGGACTTTTCGCTTGACTACGATGCAATTCGGAATCGGGTTACATCCAGATGGGGATTATATAGGGATATATATTGGGGTTTTATGGGGATAATGGAAAAGAAAATGGAAGCTACTATTATGGTGGAAATGTTTCGTTCGTGAGTTGTAGCTGGGTTGCCGGAGAGGTATGACGTGTATCGTGTATCCGACTTGCGGGAAAGACCCTTCCAATCACGAAGATGCTAAAGCAGTAAGTAGGTGCCCCCAGCATATGCAGCAAAAAAAGGGACCTCCACATGCGCCTCCCCCAAACGGCACAATCCATTTGAGATTCACGTTGGCTGTGCAGTTCTCGAAGCCACGTTGTGCAGTCCCAGCAACAATGTATACGTTGGCACGCTGCAACACACCTTGCAAAATCAATGTTGATGTACGACCTCACTCATCTGCATGGCGTTCCAGGGCTCAAACCCAGAAAAGATGCTTGTAGTCCTCATCATGTAAGCCAGAAGCTAACCTCTCAGCCACACTGCATCAAACAGGCCCGATGCAAGCCTTGAAACTCAAGCTCTGAGGAAACCACGGCATTCGCTTTGGAGCAGGAGTTTCATTATAGAACTGCCAAAGGGATCCTTTTTGCTTCTGAGGGTAATGAGGAAGAAGTTGTCCTACCCGGCGCCAGCGCCCTCCGCGCCTCAGAAGAGAAGGGCGCCGCCATTGGACGAGGCTCCGAGAAAGGCTGCGAAGAGGCCCCGCAAACGCGGGCAGGATAGCCGTGTGGAGATAGACCAGGCGGCCTGGGTGGAAGCTATTGAGATTAAGTCCGTGCAGGACACCAACTTTCATCCCCCAAAATGGCAGCTTTCTGGGTGTTGTTTGGGAGGTGTTCTGAGTGGGGCACACGAACTCGGGTAGTATTTTGAACATGGAGACTGTGGTCGCCAATAGTTGGAAAGATTGTTCACATTCTCCTTTCGGGTGTAGTGCAGTATTCTGCAAGAAGAATATGTAGTTTCCCAAAATAGGGGGACCCCAATGTAGACCCCAATATACTATAATCCTTATTATGAGGACCCCCAAAAGGGTAGCCCTAATTTTGGGAAACCTCCATATAGCCTTCCTTGGCAGAGCCACCACAGAAAAGATTACTCGTCTGATTTTACAGGGAGGTCAGACTCTGCCATCGGATCCGGGGTAATTCCCACGTATCTGCCTACAGTAGGTTATATTGGGGCTATATAAGGGTTATATTGGGATAACGGAAACGAAAATGGAAACTACTATAGTATGTCGGAGTTATATTATGGTTGAGGTGTAGGGTTTGAGGTGTAAGCAGATAGGCCTGTTCTTTGCCATCCACTGACTTCTTAGCCG